AGTCATGAGACTATGCTCACCCTGTTCTTTAAGCTGTTTTATCAATTTATCTTTGTTACTTCAAGGAGCCATTCCACTCTGACCCAAGGAACATGCAGGGAAGCAGCAGTTAGAGCAGGAAGATTTCTCTGCTAAAGGAACTCTTTACATGTCGCACCTTTCCTATCCCAAAGCACGCGGAGTCCTAAGCAGTGATGACTACATAGCCCTGTAGAGCAGGGAACTCCCCCACGGCGGTTTGGACCTGTGCACGGTGAGACATTTCACAGCATCCCTAGGCTCTACCTGAGACAGGCCACTAGCAGCCCCTACCAGCCAAAGGTGTCTTCAGGCACTGTCAAAACACCCCTGCTGAGAAACAATGGACCTGTGGTTATGTAGACGGCTCAGCCCAAAAGGAAAGGCAGAGCTAGTTCATCAGACCTCAGCTAAGCTCTGGCTGGCGGAAACAATCCTAGTTGGTGGTCAACAGCCCGCCGCCTCTCTTCGCATGTCTGAACTTTGCGTATCAGTCGCCCTCACACGCACAGCCTGGGCTCACTCTGAAACCTCTACTGACAAACCATTTAACCAGTCAAATTCAGGGGTCACGTTTTCCCTTCTCAGAAATTTAGAGTATTTTATAGGAACTTCATTCATAGCATTCATACCCTTTCTTACTGGCACATCCTGTTTCATCCACTCACCTTGAATACAAATTACCAGAAGGCAGGAATTAAATCCTAAAATTTGATTTGATCTAAGGCCTTTAATATGAAGGAGTCCGTTTGCATCTCCAGCCTCGTCTTCTACCATTTCCAAGCCAGACCGAGCTACTCCCAGTCCCCAGGCTGGCCTTGCGCATTCTCCGGGGCTTTCCTCTGCTCTCTCCTGGAATCCTGCATTTCCTGGAGTTTGTCTACATTCCCTACGTAACAGCGAATGCCTTGAACACAGAACCTGATTCTAATTATCACCTGATCCCCACCAACCCCAGCATCTCAGAGACCAAGGTGCTGATTAAATTAAAACTTGATGGATGAGGCATGTCCTTCCCACCCCCCACCCCCTCGAGTGCTTTTGTACAGTGTACCCTGCTGTCATTCATCTGACCGCTACTGAGATAAAAAACAACAACAAAGCCATTTCCTGAGTTTAAGTGGCACAGAAAACATACTGGAAACAAAATTTTGAAATCACATCTTAAAGCCAGACCCTGTATCTCATCACACAGTCCGTAAAGCCAAGAACTTACCTGTAGGACGCACGGAAACTCTCACCCTTAACTAAGCGAATTCTGACACCTCAGATGAGACACTCGGACTAGCAACAGAAAAAAATACAGCTTCAAAAAGTCAACTGCCTCCCATTCCTAAGCTGCTGTCTTATTCATCTTTTTTAAACCCGATGTTTAGAAAGCATTCACTTTGACAAAATAAATGAAGCTTCATTGTACTACACATTTATCTCATTTTATCATAATACCATTCTGCACTATCTGTATAGAGCTGTATTTTGATAAATGTGTAAAATATAGTTCCTACCACAAAACAGCTTTGTATATGCCAGCAGAAGATTCAAAAAGCAGCGTGCTTACCAGCTAAATAGTTGCCTGACTTAGGACTCAATGCATGACAGCTTTCATCAAATAATTCCATGTCCCTTCCCCCAACTCCCAAATGTGCATTAAACTGACACAGTTCAATAATTCAGCAGGATTTCATAAGTTAATTATAACAAAAAAGCTTGATGGGGGAGGAAAAGCAGCTAATTTTTCCCCTTTTTACCTAATGAAAGCTGTGATTTTATGGAAAAGCAACAAGAACACCAGATAAGTACCTGTGGTGTAGATTAACAGAAATGCGTAAGGATCTCCCAATCTCTATGCCAACATTAATTAGTGCCCTGCTCCAGCGTCTTCTCGCCTTTGTTTTAATTTAAATGTAAATTCAAGTGAATTTCATATTTTAGATACTCTCTATTCTTATTGACAAATAAGATAAGAGAAACATATCAGCAGAGACGAGATCTTCTCACATGCCAACGAGCAGCATGATGATGCATAATTATAATGGTATAAAGATTAAGAGAGTAAAGCTAAAAAGTCCTAATGGAAACATATTCAAGTAAGGAATAGAAGAATGGGGGGATCTGAAAACAGACATATTTCCTATACCTCTCCTCAAGGACTTTGAGCTGACAAACATTTATTGATGTTTATTAATAACATTATGTTATTAATAAACAAACAGTGTTTGTCAGATGCTAGTAGGTGCACGGGACACAAATATGAAGACACAGTCACAATCCCAGCTTTCAGAGTTCTGAACACAAACGCATCATCGCATATAGATCCAAAGAACATTTCCATCACCACAGGAAGTTCTCCTGCACAAATGCTGCTCAGACACCAGATAATTGGGCTCCATCATTTTCCGATCCTATGGTACTAGGGACATCATTTAGTTAACCTGTGAGTGAGTCTGTTTGCCAAAGACACAACCAACATGTCCTTCAGCAAAGAATGGCTAAGTTATATGGGTTGCTATGGAGCAATTTAAAAAAATAAAAATGAGTATGTACTAGCACACAAATATCTCCATGACCTAATATTGGTAGGAGTAAAATAGGCTGGATTAAGAAATATGCAATGCCCCTTGTTTAAAATACACACTCATACTGAAGGCTACCCCATTTTCCACAGACCTATCTTAAATACACAAATATTAAATATATTAGCCATAGAGATAAATGCTGGTACCCCTAGGGTGGTAGCCAAAGAGGATTGTGCCCATATAAAATTTGAATCCAAGCTACTTTAGGGTAACATATCCATGTTTCCTTCACTAAGATACAGATGCCAATAGTAATCCCTACCCTATCTGTACTTTACAGATACCAGTAAAAGTGCTTTCAGTATTGTAAAATATTATTTTGAAAAATGAGACTTTTTATATCCAAAAATTCTAGGCTAGACAGAGCATAAATGTGGTTTATGCTATGATTCATAAGTTCCTGTAGAAGCTGAAAATCTACCAAGGCAAGCAAACAGTTGTCACCTTTCAAAAACAATCTGTGATTAGTGAAGACGCATCAATTCCCCACTGAGCTCAAGCTCATGCGAGCAGCAGCCCCCAGGAGCAGAGGTAAACAAGAGACCTGGTTCCCATCCTCAGGCAACTTGCAGGCTAACAGCGAGGTACACGCTCAACACGTTTTTACAACCAAATGGGAGGCATGTCATGAACTGGGAGTTCAGGAACAAGAATGTCAGGGAGACTTGAAGATCAAGTAGGAACGCAAGAGACAAAGTGCGTGCGGTGGGGAAGAGGCCAACGACCCAGGCCAAGAGTGCAGAGACAAAAGGGAGTGGAAAGGAGTCCAGTCTGCCTGGGAGGGAATAGTTAAAAGAGAAGCGGGACAGAGCCACACTATGCAGGGCTTTGCATACCATGAATTTGGCTTTTATTTTAAAGACAATAGGAATTACTTACGTAGATTTTAAATATGAGAGTGCCAAGATCTGTTTTTACAGAGAGATCATTCAGCCTATAGGGTGGAAAATGGAAAACCAGAAAGAGTAAGTTCAACGAAATAGACCAAGTGCCCTGAAACTGTGGAGGTGACGGAGGGCAGAGAGCAAGGAGACAGAAGGGGTATGACTTGGGTTCAACTGACAGAGAAAATAAATACACTAAACTGTCCCGGCTCCGGACATAGGAACTTAGCAAATTCCTTTTAAATGCCTTATTTTTTTACAAAAAGTCAAAGATCTTCATCTTTGTTATAAACCCACAATCCTTTATCTATAATCCCCAAATCCCTAAAGCTCAGAAAATGGGAAGGAGCTCCATAAAACAGCAGCGAAACCTGATCTGAATTCACATGAGGTTCTTCTCCTCGCCTCATCCCATTCTGCATGAATATTCATATATTTCACTCTAGAAATACCACTAATCTGCGAGGATGGGGTGCAGCTGGAGGAGATATTAGTTTTGTTAGGTAATAAATAGTACATTTACTATGTTCACTTTATAAACCCTGATAAAATCTGACTTTGGCAACACCTTCAGACCCCAGGATGTCTGAAGAGGAATTGCAGATGGGAATTAATCCACATTCGTTTCCTGGCAGCCGAGGTCATGCTGATACACACCCCTGGTGGCCCCAGAGCCCCTAAATTTGTGTCCCTGTCTGGTAGGGAAGGCGGGACGTGGGCAAGTCAGCTTTTGTTGACTGTGCGACTCTGGAGTGTATGTTTTAACTGCTGACCTTTAGACACGCATCGGGTGAGCCTGGAAGTATTCATTTTCAGGGAGGATTCACGCTGCTGTAGAGTAAGAGCTACAAGGCTTAACCTCATGTATCTGTTCCCCTGGGGACAGACACTGGTTTCTAACAAGGGGTCCTCTGGAAGAAGTAGAGGCATCAAAAGGGATCAATCCCAGGCCTCCATCTAGCACCGTCAATATGCGTTCATTTTTTCAAACCCATTAGCGCAATTCTCTGCCTCGGGAAGTGGAGCCAACAAATGCATGACTAATAGGGATCCCAAACTATTCCTGGGGAACTCCCTCCAAGGAAGAGGTCTTATAATGTGTGTTAAAATTCTAAACTAGAAATAAAGAGAGTATCAGTCTGTACCATCCACCCCAAGATGAGAAAACCAGGCTACTGACTGTGTGTGTGGAGAGGTTCACAGCAGGGAGTAGCACGCACCTAGAAAAGCAACTGCTCTGACGGGTGACACTGGAGAGACAGGCAAGTAAGAAGAAATCAAAGCCACCTTGATGATTGCCCAGTGACAGAACTGCCCACTGGTACCTCTTAGAGACATGAAGAACCTACCTTGCTCATGAAGGAATCTGTAGAGTTACATTTACGTCCACTTTTGCAATGACAATTACCCTGAAGCAATGTAGTTTTAAGTTGCAAAGACAGTAAAATAGGGAATTTCTTATAGTTATAAGACAGTTTTAAGTCCTTTTGCAATATTGGAAAAATGGACCAGAAAGTCTTACCTTCAACACAAGAAGGCTGAGCGCGAGTCGTGCCAGCCACCTGCCCCGGGAAGCAGGAACACTTGACCGTCTGCGATCGCTCTTCGATGCGGTTCTTGTTACAGCACCTGTGCACAGCAACCACCTCGCAGGTCCCCTGCTTGATTTGGTGGTGACCTGGCAAGTGACGGGGGAGAGAAAGACCCAGTGCTGTTAGGGAGAAATCAGACTACCAAGTCCGCGAACTTAAGACTACATTTTCCAAGTTCATGTACTATGCTTGGGAATCTCTGTCATTTGTTTGTTTTGATGTCATTGCACATTCCTATCAAGGTGGCAAGAATAGTGGGAGGAGAAAAAAGCTCCTATGAACCTATGGGAGACCGAAATTTGGGCCCCAGGATCTTCAGTTCTTGGTATCACAAGCACAGTTGTTATTTACACGGCAAAAGAGATTTTGCACATGTAATTAAGATTGCTAAGTGGTTTTATTTTAGGAGAAGGATATCATCCTGGATTATCCAGGCAGAGCTAATGCGATCACATTAGCCCTTAGCAGCAAGCAGATGAAGCAGAAGGGCAGGGTGGGTTTTGAGCACGCTGGCTTGAAGACAGAGGGGGCCACAAAGTCAAGGAAATGGAGACCTCGGTCCTACAACTGCAAGGAACCGAGTTCTGCCAACAACCTGAATGCGCTTGGCAGGGGACTCCTCCCCAGAGCCTCCACGAGGGAATGCAGTCCTGCGCACAGCCTCATGTTAACCCACTGGTGAGACCCTGGGCCAAGAATCCAGGCACACTGTCCCCGGACTTCTGACCTACAGAAACAAGCCACTAAATTCATGGAAATCTGTCACAGCAGTGAGAGCAAAGGAATACAAGACCTTGTACTCAGATCCTGAACTGCTAATGCGACCCCCTGGCTTCATCACTCACTCTCTGTCGTGTATCTTTCTGAGCCACTTGAGGGTAGGTTGCAGACATGATACCCCTAAATACTGCAGTTCGTATTTCCTAAGAAGACCTTCTCTTACATAATTATCAGAAGCAGGAATTTTACCCCGATGCAATGCCATTGCATAATCTACAATCCAGATCGTCAAATTTCGCCAATTGTCCCAATGATGTCCCTTATAGCCGATATCACCCCTGATCAGGATCTGGCCCAGGAACCTGCATTATGTTTAGTTGTCATGTTCCTTTAGCCTTCTTCAATCAGAAACTACTCCTTGGCTTTTGCTGACCTTGACATTTTTAAAGACTACATGCCCGTTATTTTGCAGACTGTGCCTCAGTTTGGTTTTGTCTGATGTTTCCTCTCAATTGGATCCAGGCAATGCCTTTTTAGCAGACTAGCTCAGAAGCGACACTGTATTCTTCTTAGGGCGTCACATCAGGAGGTGCAGGAAGTCAACCTGTCCCAGGACTGGTGGGGCTGCCTTTAATCACAGTTACAGTGGTGGCTGCTGGGTTACTCTGTTTCTTAGGGTATTGTCTTTCCCTTTGTAATTAGTAAGCATTTTAAGGGGAGACACAGTGGTACTATGCAAATACCCCATTCTTCATCAAACTCTTACCCCACCTTTTTTTTGCATCCATGGATGATTTGCACTGAATCAAAACTGATTCTATATTAATGTTCAATGTATCTCAGATCTAGACAGGACAAGACCCAGCAAACCGGTAACTATGTCACTTTGAGATATTCTCCGAGACCTTACTAACTTTCTGGCTGAAGAGATGTGCCAACCTTACCTCGTATTTTCCCTGCCCTCATCATTTTCCTCCAAGGACCCCTGACTATTTTCACTGGAACATCAGATTTAGAAGCCAAGGTCTTGGCACACAGGTGTACTTATTACTGCTGGGGAGTTGATTTGGGGCCGAGAGTGCAGATGGATCTATGCACAGCATGAGTTCGCACTGATGTCTCCAAATGCTACCTCGTCCCACAGGGTCTTGCTTCTCTCTCCACAATTCTGTTTGTATCTCCCATCACCAAAAATGAGAGAACTGATTTTCACTGTCTTCGAACAAACAGAGTTTAATGTATGTTTAGAGTGGGAACCATTTTATCAGTTAGGAGTCTTCTGTTATAACATCAGAAAGTGACCTGAATATACGTAATCTTCCAATAAATTATCTTTGGGTTATCAAAAGATTGCAGAGTTCAGAGAGACTTTAGCTCAACCATCAATTGGGCCATTCTCACAGCTGGCCCAGAGGGAATACTTGCACTCTTTGAGTCTGTCACTCTGCTCAGGGTCATGTTAGCTGTGGCAGCCACCACCTAAGACAGACCCCAATCACCTTCTGGTATTCACACCTGTGTGCAGTCCCTTCCCTTGTGGTAGGAGGGTTGGTCTTCATGACAAGTCACATGGACCAGCAGTGATCGTGTGTCACTTCCAAAGCCAGGTGGCCACTCACTCTGCACCCCTCAGATCACTTACTCCGGGGAAACCTCCTGCCAACAGCCCTGTCAGTGAGCTTGTAAGCAGATCCCCTCTCCCACTGGCCCGGCAACATACAGTGGCAGATGTGCTGTTTTGTCACGTCAGAGTCAGTTCTAAAGGACAGTGCTGCGCTCGCCTGCTTGCTCATCACTTTCTCTAAGAGAAGCCATGTTGTGTGTGGCTCTGGGGAGCATCCCCGGTGGCCAAGAACTTGACGTCTCCTGCCATGAGCTGCATAGTGAATTTGGAAGTGGATTGGGCAGCCTTAAGTATGTCCTCAAAGACTGCACCCCAGCCAGCAGCTCAACTGCGCCCTGAGAACCCTGAGGCAGGACCACCCACCCAGCCACTCCCAGAATTCTCATACTAAGACACTGGGTGAAACCTATTATGTTAACTGTTTTAAGCTTCTAAGACTTAGGCTAATTTGTTACACAGCAAGAGGTAACCAATCTCTGGCTACCCCAGGATAGAGACATTTACCTTTGTCCTGATGTTATTAATGAAAGATAGCCTTTCAGGCCCCCTTAAGCACCCTCATGGTTTTCAGATAAACTGTTTACATGTACATCGTACTGTGAATAACAATCTCATTCTACTCCTTAAAAAAGGTTTTCTCCAAGGATTCCCACAGGCTAACACTTTGCTTGGTTTGTCCTGTTTGCTGTGTGTGCTTCAAATCACAAAACTAGTTTTAAAATGTTCCATGAGTCAGCTTTTTAATCCAAAAGATAGGCCTTCCACAAAACAGCCTCTATATTATTCTGAAATTTTCTCTGGCCCTTCCCCTCTCATACCATATTCAGTGTTGGTGGAAGCAAAATGTAATTACTGGCAAGATCAAATACAAAGACAAAGTGTCATTTGTAAAATATGTAAAAGCAGAACCAGTGCCCAGAGAATCAAACCACCAAGAGAGAAAGCTTTCGATCTCTATAGAAGAAAGCAAAAATAATGAAAGAAGTGATTAATAGTATAAACCTAGTTAAACATTCACAATCACAATGCTCATTTCCAATAGGTAGTGTACACAGCAGTAAAAAATAAAAATAAAAAAACAGTAATGGCAATGTCAGTAAAGTAGCTTGAGGACTTTAGCACCAAGTAAGCAAAAACGTGAGGCCCGAGAAGAGCTGGTGCAGAGACCCTTTCTCCTTTCCAGTGACAGACGCGCATGGCCAGACAGCTGATGACTAGCCAAGGGGGGCGGCAGGGGGGCTCCCGGGTGGATCCCTGCTCAGTCCTCTCGCTGTGGCTGCCCTCCTGGTGGGCCACTGTCCCGGTTTGTTCAGCTGCCATAGCAAAGCACCACAGGTTGGGTGGCCTGAACAACAGGCATTTATTTCTCACAATTCCAGAGACTAGAGATTCAAGACGGAGGTGCTGGCCAATCCAGTCCCCGGGGAGGGCTCTCTTCCCGCCTCACAACAGCTGCCCCCCTGCTCTGTCCTCACATGGCAGGGACACTCTGGTGTCTTTGCCCTTTCTTTTTTTTTTTCATAAGGACACCAGCCCTATCAGATTAGGACTGCACTCCTAGGACCTCATTTAATCTTTATCACCTCCTCACAGACCCTGCCTCCAAATACAGGCACATGTGAGGGTTAGGACTTCAACAGAGGAGGCTGGGGGACGGGTGGGGAGGACACAAAAATTCAGTTCAGTTGTCCTAGGAGTCCCAGTTCCAAGGCAGGAAGAATTCTCACTCACAGGGAGGCCAGGCTTTTTGTTTTACTCTTACCTTCAACTGATTGGATGAGGACCACCTCCTGCAGGAGGGCAATCTGCTTTACTCAGTCTGTTGAGTCCTGTTAATCTCACCCAAAACACCCTCACAGAAATGCCCGCAGTAAGGTTTGACCACATATCTGGACACGCTGCGGCCCCGTCGAACTGACATACAAAATTAAGCATCACTAATATCAGATGACCATGCAGCAGTGTGTTGCCAGATGGGGAAAAAATTAAAGCTGAAGACAGACAAGAAAGTAGTGCTTTCATGGTAAACTTAGTTCTCTAAAAAGGTCCAGGAAGGATGCCTTGTTTAGTAAGCTTAGAACCAGACAGGAGCCATTTTCCCTCTAAAACATCAAGGACCGTTATGGTTACAGCTCCATCTTAAAAACTAAAGCTAAATACTCGTAAGATCCATGCAATAAGCGGCAGGTTGTACCCAGGAGTTCTCAGATATGGTTTCCTCCAGAGTTTCAGGTCATGAACTGGAGTAGACAAGACTGAGTCACTCAGAAATGGAGCTGCTCTCTGGAGAGAAACTGGCCAAAGAAAAAACAAAACACTGTCCCCTTTGGGCTCTCTATGAATCCTGCCAGTTGCTGGGCCATTTCCCTTCCAGTTTTGTCTAAGTAGGTAAATAAGAGAGCATTTATTTCTACTTATTTAACCAGCACTTAGATACAATGTACTATCTAGAAGCCACTGTTCTCAGAGCCCTTGGACACATAATTTATAAGAGGGGAAATTGTCCCTTGGTTCCTTTCTACACTTCTCAGCGTGCAATGGGGTTGCTTATTTTCTTTTCAAAACAAGTGACTTAAAACACCAGCAGGGCTAGTAAGATGGATGGTTCCTCTTAGTGTAGACATATACCTCTGTATGTTGGTAGACAATAGAGGTATATGTCTACCAACTATACCCACCTAAACAGTTGGGTAGACACAGTTAGAAGTGCTGTGATAATAAACATGGATTGCTTTGGGATTG